ATTTAACCACCCCAAGAGTTCTTTAAAAATATCCAACATTATGACATGAATGGTTTCCAAAAAGCCCTTCACTGAAGCTTACTATTTCTAAGCCCCACTCAGAGCCTCCAATCAGCTTTTTAGTTCCTCACTCGTAAATATGAGCAAACCACCAAGGATTACTGGATACTGAGTAAAGTTTCTTGAAATATATAGACCAAAACAATTTGGAGAAAAAAAACCACCTAGACAGTCTGGCTCCAAAGTCTGCGCTCAGTCCTGAGAATTAAGAGCTACCTATACCAGTTAGGACTCTGGTTACAAGTGTCAGAAACCTAACTTAAACTACCTTAAATAAGAATGGAGCCCTGGCCGGTTTTGCTCAGTGGTTAGAGCATCAGCCTACAGACTGAAGGGTCCTGGGTTCTAGTCCAGCCAAGGGCACATATCTGGGTTGCAGGTTCAATCCCCAGCCCTGGTCAGGGCGCATGCAGGAGGCAACCAAGTGATGTGTCTCTCTCACCTCTCTCTCCCTCCCTTCCACTCTCTCTGAAAAGCAATGGTAATGGTAAAAATATCCTCGAGGATAAAAAAAAATAAGAATGGAAATTTCTTGCCCTACCCACTAGGTTGCTCAGTTGGTCAGTGTCATCCTGATACGCCAAGGTTGTGGGTTCAATCCCTGGTCAGGGCACATACAAGAATCAACCAATGAATGCATAAAGAAGTGGAACAACAATCAATGTCTCTCTCTACCTGTCTATCTATCTATCTCCCTTCCTCTCTATAAAATCAATAAATAAAATTTTTAAAAATAAAAAATGGTAATTTCTTAATCCATGTAAACAAACTGTATACAGAGAAGGGTAGTGTGATTCAGAGTTAATCAGATTAAGGGATTTGAACTCACTGTTTCTGACTCTTTTCTAAGTTCCTAGGTCTAGATGTTAGTTAGCCTTATTATGTAAGGCTCCTCCAAGCAGCAGGATATATGGCCCTAGTATCCCTAGGGAAATAACCTCACAGGCTATAATTCAAAAAGAAAAAATGCAACAATGAGATACCACTACACACCTATCAAAATGGCTAAAATTCAAAACACTGATAATACCAAATGCTGACAAAGATGTGGAACAGAAACTCTCATGCATTGCTGGTGGGAAAACAAAATAGTATAGCCACTTCAGAAGACTGTCTCCAACAAAACTAAACATAACTTTACTATATGGCCCAGCAATCACGCTCTTTGCTAGTCACCCAAATGAGCTGAAAACTTATGACCACACAAAAATCTGCACATAGATGTTTATAGTTGCTAAAATGTGGAAGCAACCAAGATGTCCTTCAATAGGTGAGTGGATAAATAAACTGGTACAGCTATACAATGAAACATTATTCAGTGCTAAAAGAAATGAACTATCTAAATCAGAAGTCAGCAAATTATAGCCCATGGGCCAAATCTGGCCCTCTGCTTGTTTTGTAAATAAAGTTTTACTGAAACATAGGCATAAAAAATATAAGAAATGAGCTATGAAGCCATGAAATTACAGAGAAATCCTTAAATGTATATTGCTAAGAAGCCAATCTGAAAAGGCTACATACTGTATGATTCCAACTATGTAACATTCTGGAAAAGGCAAAATGCTCTCTCCTAGATTCATGAAATGAACCCACGGAATGACTGCCCTCACTGATGGTCAAATGCTCATCCCTGGGACTCTCCCTGTGGTCAGAATGGGATATGCACTGGGCAGGTTTGTGTCACATGCCCATTACTGTGGCTTAGGGCAGGGCAGGAATGGGCACAACTGGGTGTTCCATTTAGCAACCTCACCAGAATCACCAGATCCGAGTGGCAGAGGAAGAGCTCTCCATAGGGGGAAGGAAGAGAGGAGAGTGGTACTTTCATCAGAAAAAGAAAAGCATGCTAGGCAGAAAAAACAACAATGGCTACCCCTTCACCTGTATTATGTATATATTTAAAAGATCTTTTCTTTTTTAAAAGAAAAAGGACATTTATCATTTTCCAGCTTATAAAATGTGGTACAATTGGGAAGGAGAATTAATGGAAAGTCAGAGAGAAAGCAAGGGTTGAGAAGCAGAAAGGAAAAACATAAATAACTTAAAGAGGAGGCATTGAAAACCAAAAGAGCCCTGCCAGGGTGGGTTAGTGGTTGAGCAGGGGGCATGCAAGAGGCAGCCGATCAATGACTCTCTCATCATTGATGTTTCTCTCTCTCTCTCTCTCTCCCCCCTCCTTCCTCTCTCTGAAATCAATAAAGATATATTTTTAAAAATAATAACAATAAGATTATAAAGATGGTAGAACAGAAAGACCAAGGAACCTCATGGCATGGTGGAAGCACCTTACCAGCCCTAGACTTCCTACCTCCAAGCCACTGCAGTTAGATTTCTACTACATGTAGCAGAACACAAATATCTTAAATGATACGAATAGTTAACATCACTTTTATCACTATCTGTAGAAGTTACAAGTTATATATTTGTATTAAAAACACAAACTTCTCACCATTTTCCACCTAGGAACAACTATGTATTTAAGATGTCTGATTAAGGGAGCATTGAATGGCTATGGAAAGCTGTCTATTTGGTGTAAGAACTGAAACTAGATTTTTTTGACTGGGTCAATAACATTCTTAACTAAATAACTGAAGGAGGTGAACTTTATCTCAATTCTGATTTTTATAAAATTATATGTAATAGCATGGCTTTATTTTGAAAGAGTATGATTCCCTTCTATTTATTCTCATTTAATCCTTATTATATATATAATCAAGTAGTAAACAGTAACAAGTAATAAAAACCACAATATTTCTCATTAACCTTTATTTTTAACTTAGTTTTACAATAAAGAAACCAAAAAGAAGTAGATCATTAAAAAATACCATAGCTGTCAATTTAAAATTTTAACTGAGGTTCATGTTAAACAAAGCAATAACACTATCTCCTGTAATTCCATCTTTATTTGTATATACAAGAACTGTGTGCAAAGTGCTTTTCAAACTATAAAATAAGACTTTAGAATAGGATACAAATAGTCAACCCTAGGAGTTAGTAACTCCTAACTGCCTGTAACTAGTCACAGCTGCTTACATTCTTAATTTGCATTTTATCTATATAGTAAAAGAAAAGCCACCATTTTTTGATACCAGATTGATATCTAATTTTTGAAAATAATCCCTGATCCACAAGGTCTAAACTTAATTTTTTTTCCTAAATAGAGGAGTTTTTAAAAACCAATACTAGCCCTGGACAGTGGTGCTCAATGGTTAGAGCCTCAGCCCGCGCACCGATGGGCCTCAGGTTCCATTCCTGGTTAAGGGCACGTACCTGGGTTGCAGGTTCAAACCCCAGCCCCAGTTGAAACGTGTGTGGGAGGCAACCAATCAATGTGTCTCTCTCACATCAATGTTTCTCTCTCTTTCTCTCTGTCCCCCTCCCTCCCTCTATTCCACTCTCTCTAAAAATCAATGGGAAAAATATCCTGGGGTGAGGATTAACAAAAAAAAACACATTAAAAACATTATTAGTAGATCCCTCTATACCAGGGGTGGGGAACCTTTTTTCTGCCAAGGGCCATTTGGATATTTATAACATCATTCACGGGCCATACAAAATTATCAACTTAAAAATTAACTATGAAAAAAGCTCCTGGATTTATTGAATTTCTAATCCTGCCTGCAGTTGCCTTGGCAGGGACAGACCAAATGATTTCGTGGGCTGTATATGGCCCATGAGCTGGACGTTCCCCATCCCTGCTCAATACAGACACATTTTAATTAAGATAGGATTAAAAAAGTAAAAAACATCGCCCTGGTCAACATGCTCAGTGGTTAGAGCATCAGCCTGTGTACTGAAGGGTCAATGGTTTGATTCCCAGTCAAGAGGCATGTACCTGGGTTGCAGGTTCAATCCCCAGTCCCAATCAGGGTGCATCCAGGAGGCAACCTATCGATGTGTCTCTCTCACATTGATGTTTCCCTC